AATTGAATTGAATTATAAAAGTAGAGGTTTTGGCAGTTTTCTGGTGTGGAGCATTCAGGTGTATGCTAACAATCTTACACTCTTCCCCAGCAAATACACCCCAAGGTCAGGCAATGCAATGCTCAGTGACACTGTTAAAAAAACAAAAACAAAAAAAACCACAAACTAACAAAACAGGAGCTACATCTCAGACTGTACGGGGCTCAGTTCAAATGTTAAAGTCCATGACAATTAGAACTGTCAGAAAAAGACTAATTACCATGGGTTGTTTGGAAGGGTTAGCAGGAAGAAGCACCTTCTCTCTGAAGAAACATGGTAGCACAGCTTATTCGATTCCCAGCTATTGGAAACTGGAGTCTTGTAGTCACTGATTCAAGTACGAACTTCTCTGTATACCAAAGTATTCTAGAGCCAGATGTGAAGCCATTTGTCCGACACATAAAGTTTGGCCATAATTTGTTTATTCAGTAGGTTAATAACCCCAAACACATAAGTAAATCTACAACAGAGTGGCTGAAAAAGGAAAAAACATATCAAGTGGTCCAAAGTCCACACCTCAACCCAACTGAAATGCTGTGCTGGGACCATAAGAGCTCACCCCATATTACCAAAGAATAATCTTTGTTAATATGGGGTGAGTAACAAAGATTATTCAGGCTCTAGTTGGAAAATCCAAAAAAACGAGGCTCTGATTGGGAGAGCCTCGCCTCTAAGGTGTGGGGTTTAAGACTGATTTCACTGTGTGATGCATTACTGACTTACATGCATTCTGGTTTGCAGTATGTTGATCCTTTTGATGTTGGTGTGAAGTTTGAGATCATATTCAGCCAAAAGATTTGTTATCCCAGAGGCGTCACCAGTTCATCCTCCCCCAATCTCTACTAAAGCGTCGTAATACAAAAAAATGTAACAGTTGTGAAATAAAGTTTCTCATTTTACCAGTATTTCTTCTTGTAGTGTTTTGTTTTCAGGTCTCTGAAAGATTATTAATTATTAGAAAAGCCTCTCATTGGTTTATTTTGGCTTGAAATCAGCTAAAAATTTAACTAATTTTACTTTATTGTAAAAATTACCAGGTTTGTGGTTCATTTCATTCAGCTCTTTAGAGTAAAGCTGGAAAAATTAGTAAAGCACATTCATGCCAAATTACAGCTATTTACTTGCATTTATTATCAGAATAATTCATTTTAGCATTGAATGTTATGTTTAGTTGATTTCTATTTTTTTTCTTTTTTTTTTCTTATTTCTTTGTTTCATTGTACTCTTTGTCCTTCGTCCTTCTTCGCGATCGTTACACACACCAAACAGCAGATGGCAATTTTAAGCCATATAGGCGGTTAAACTGTTTGACCGTCTTCCATAAATGATGGAAGTGATACAAGAGTGAATGTTATAACAGGGTCAGAATCAGCAATTGACCTTACATTAGTGTCAGACTCATTGGCAGGTATTTGTTCATGGCAGGCTGGTCAATGATTACAAGGATGAATGGTATGAAAAGGGAGTATGGTTATCCAATCTGGAGGGATGGAGTGGTAACATGATAGGGAAACATAATACCGGGAAATGTGATTATTGTGGGGAAGAGGAAACTACAGAACATGTCATATTGCATTGTCAGAAATATCAGATCGAGAGGAGACAATTGATCCAAAACCTCAGTAACATAAAAATCAAAATTGATGTTATTGATTTATTGCAAACGGAATCGGGAAGTAAACGTTATCAGGCCTTATTTAAGTTTTTAAAAGAGGGGAAACTGTTTGGAAGGATTTGGGGGGAGGGGGGTTGTTTTTTTGTTTGTTTGGGTTTTTGGGGGTTGTTTTTTTTAGCGACGTTCCAGACCACACTCCATACCAGTTGGTGGCGGTAATGCACCTTTCAGTTGTTTGCCAACCGCCAATATATATGTAGAAGAAGAAGAAGACGACGACCGTCTTCTGCTTCCTGTCGGCGGTCTGTCCCTGCGGAGTTGGTATGTA